TATGTTGATTAGCGCACAAAGAAAGGGGGTAAAAGATGGCAGGGGGGTGAGCACAAACGTGGCTACACACTCTCACACACACACACACACACACACACACACACACACACACACACACACACACAGCATCTAGTTCCAACACAGATCCCCAAAAATTTCAATGTGCGAGAGGTAAACAACATGGGACTCGAACTCTTCTCACACTGGAAGAGAATGTCTGCAGAACTCATGCTGATGACTCATACGCTGACAGCACACACACTGAACCCCACAACCTTTATTGTTCATGACTTTTAGATATTCATGCACCAACGAAACTAAGCCACAGAAAGCTAGAGGTAAAAACAAAAATACAAAAATGTCAAAAGAGAAGATCTCTAACCGTCTGTCTGTCGTTGCGTTCAGTGCGAGTGGGGCTGGCGTGCGGGCGTCTACCCCTTCTCTCCTCACTTGCACCCCTCCGTCGCCCACTGCGCATGGGCATCTGCAAAAGTCCAGCGAATGAAGAAAACGTGGCAGGTGGTGAAAAGTGTTGAAAGGGAAGAAAATGGAGAGCATAAAGAGGGGGGAATATGGGCACATGTTGACTGACATGACAACAGAGTTCATTTAAACTAAAGAAGAGTAATTCAGTTTCAAGCAAAACATAAGCATGCAAAAAATGAAAGAAGAAACATTATATATATATATATATATATATATATATAAGCTTAATATTCATTGATAGAATGAATATCACCTGCCTTCCATGCCAGTGTTTTAGACTACAATCATCTTATGTTGAGTTATTTCTATTTTAAACACACCTTGAAAACCGGGCTGATCCATGGCATAGGCAGTATAGGCAAGCACTAAGGGCACCTTCCATTTAAGGGGCACCATAAATGAGGGATGAAACTTTTTTATAACCTTTTAGCAGAGTACAGTTGATTTAGTCTGTAGAAAAATCACTGGTTACTCAGACTTATGAATGTAACTTGTTCAATTCAATTCAATTCAAAAATACTGTATTGATCTTGATCCCAGAGGGAAATTAGATGTTGTAACTCATTTAACTAAAGATGTGGGTTTCTCTGCTGCTTTGTTGCTACATGAGATGTTATGGTGCAGAGGATGTTTCGTGATAAAAGTATCACATGATGCAGTCAAGACTAAATACTGGTGCTCAGTGTGTAAATACAAATAAGGAATAACGAAAGTTTCAGTTATGATCTCAGATAATGTTTGGGTTAAAGTCTGGTTTTCATTGTTCTACTTTCATAAAAAACTGATTTTATGYTTTATGAAGACTAATTTAGTAAAATACTCTAAAAATGGTTGGAAAATACATAGTTTTGGGTAGATTTTTCACAAAATCTTTCCAGGGCATTATAACCCTGGAGCCCCCTAGAACTGCTTCAGTCCACAGCTGCTGGTTAACATGAACAGGTGTCCCTCATTGCTGTCAGCAGATGTTGGCAGGTATGAGGTGGACTTCTGTTTCAAAYTGATTATATTAACTGTTTTAATTGGACAACCTGGTTTCTCAAGATAAAAAAAATAATATCAACGACAAAACTATTTAATTTGGAATGYGAAAGGGTGTAAATTGTCTCTGAGATTTAGAAAATTGCACAAGGGATGCCGCCTGAAAACTTGCCTATGGCCCTCTTTGAAAATAACATTCTGCAAAATCTTATGTGATGCTGTAAGATCTCACATGATCTTTTAGAGTATGTGTTGTAAAATGACTGTGAGCTACAATCACACCAAGGTTTGCTAAATATCTGTAAAATTTCATTGAGATGTAGCCGTTTTTGTGTTGGCTAAGGTTAATTAGCTGTGGCAGTCATCTTGAATCAGGTTGACTACAAACGTTAATCAGTTGTAGGGCTACATCCACTGATTACTTTATGAAAATTTAATTCAGGGATTCATGAGAAACCTCTCTGCATTAGGCAGCAATAACAAMGTGAAGACAGAACAATGCAGGAACAGTAAGCAAAGTAACATTACATCAACTGTGAATTCAATTAAACACCAAATTTGTTTTCGAAGCCATTACTGACTYCGTCAACCAAATAAATCCTGAACTTCTTTGTGAAAATGGTTATTTAAAAGAATTGTCCGATTCTGATCTAATTATGATGTAGTCAGAAGAATTAGACAGGTAATGCAACCTCTAACAACGCTATAACAAGCAGACAAAAGCCTCAAGGCATACCGATTCTTTGTGCGTCCTTGTTTTCATTATTTCTTTCTTATGACATCCATTTTACGACAGGAGCCATCGCAGGAACTGAACTGGATCCCAGTTGTTTACCGAGAGAGCTACCAAAACCTGTGAAGAAGCACAAGAGAGAAAGGCATCACTCAGTCTGCACAAAAATCCTCCTGAGAACTGTTTCACAAAAAAAAAAAAAAAAAAAAAAAAAAAACACACAAACACATCATGAAAGAGTTCAGTGCTGATCCATGTCATTTGCGATCTGCGCCGAGAGCAGAGTTCAGGAATTTGTGACATTTTGAAAAAACATCTGAGTGTACGGCTGAAAAGCACAACAGCAGCATGCATTTAAATTCCCCGCATGCTCCACACTGTACAGGCACAACTGCTCTTCACCCTCACTCTCAACAGCCTCCTCTCTATCCTCTGCTTTCACCTCAGCAGCAACCGGAACATAATTAACCCACTCCTGTTGTCAGAATGCACCACTCGAACGAAGCTACAACACGCAAATTAAGGTAAGATTCACTTTTTGGGGGTGGAAAACACAGTCTGCAGAAGWCATATCGACTCCAGTAAACATCTTGAGGGAAAGAGCCACACTACCCCCTCCTTTCTGCTTCCACCTTCCCTACAACAACCCACAGCCACTTGTGGTTAACCCTCATGACCTGGTTATGGCCAGAAGAATCACATGTTTATTTATTCAGCAAGCCATTAGGGAAGTGAACAATGTCAAGCTTCTTCATCCATGTCGTTGTGTCTGGCAATGAACAGTAGGTAGGCCTACTCACAAGGCTTGTCCAGTCCACTCATCCATTCACTCGTTCGTTCATGTGTCGTTAAGTTGGAAAAAAAGTGTCTCATGTATATTGAATGAGGTTAAAAATAGTGCATATTGTAGGGTGGAAAGAATAGAGTATACTGTAGGGAAATATGCTTACATTAAAAGAAAAATGCAGCTCCAGCTCCACTACTGGTTATTAGTTCATTTGTTCAATGTGCTGTAAAAAGATTCAAGATTAACTTATAAATCCTTAAAAAACTACATAAAATGAAAGGATTTCTTAAAGGAATGCACATTTCTCACAACCTGCCATCCCAGAGTTTAATCTAACTCAGTTATGTAAACAAATGACTGAGTTGTAGTCATTTTAGTCAAACCGTAACAATTATTTCATGCAGCATCACGAGACGTTGCGCTCATGACCTCAGCTACTATCGTGTCAAATTTATTTGTAAAACTGACTGACTTTCCGACATTTTTTGTGAATGCTAATGTGTATTAGCTGTGGTGAACATCTTTAAATTGAGCTGACTCCAAACATTAATCTGAAAAGTGTAATTAAAATTCAGTTAGTGGTTTGTAAAATGTTTAGCTACCCAACAATCATGGTTAAGTTAAACATTTATTAAGCAAAAACATATTGCATTCAAAGTACGTGTCAGGAAAATGCACAGCTAATACCACAGTAAATTGTAGTTCAATATCTGCATCACTGACTGAGTTACAATAATTTTGCATAGCTAATGTTGATTGCCTGCAGCAGTTATCTTGAATTAAGTTGACAACAGTAGTTGGTCAGTTGCAGAAGGTCATCCAAGTATTTGAAAGTTGCAATGAAATCAATGGTTCATGAGATATTTTGCAAACAGATAAACAGGGTTGACTCCAACAGTTAATGGCAAAGTTTTAAGCAAAGATCTATTGCAATGAGAACCATTTGGAGTTTGTGAATGACTCAGCTACCACCACACCAAACTTTAAATCAATATCTGTAAAACTGACTGAATTAAAGCCATTTATGTWTTTTCTAAATTCACTTGGCTTTGGTGGCCAWCTTGAATTGGACTGACTCAAAAAGCTAAAGAGTTGTAAATGTAAATCCAACAAATATTTACTGAAAGTTTGATTAAACTCCAATCAGTGGCTTATGAGATATTTTGCTAACAGACAAAAATTGACTTCGTGCAGTTAATGGCAAAATTTTTGAAAAGATCTTACACTATCTGTCAGCCCTTAGATAATGCAATGGGGATGACTCTCAACTACTACCACACCAAATTTAAGCTCAACATCTGAAAAATTAACCGAATTGTAGCCATTTRTGTGTTTTCTAAGATCAGTTGGCTGTGGCGACCAACTTAAATKGGACTGGCTACAAATATCAATCAGTTGTAGAAGCAAATCCAGGGATTATTTCCTGAAAGTTTCATKAAAATCCGCCCAAGGGTTCGCGAGATATTTTGATAACAGACACGCGCTGACGCAGACGCCAGCAAAAACACTATCGTCCGCCTTCAGTTTGAGAAGGCGGGCGATAAAAAAAAGTAGCATGTGTGCAGCTCTGACTCCCTGGAGCAGACACGTTCAGTGCGGGGCTACCACACAATGCAATGCATCAGTTACAGGTGGCAGGTAGCGGGCCCGCCCGCCTGCCTGCGGCCCGCTGGGCAGTCAAACAGCASCAGCAGCTGCTCTTCTCCTCGCGCACATGCATCACGAAACAACCTCTCCGCATGTGATGCAAAGCAGCAGCAGCAGCATGCAGAGCCTCTGCTTACATCACCAGCGAACAGGACGCCGCAACCACTCCGTCCTGCTTCTTCTTCTTCTCCTTTTCTTCCTGGGGAAAAAAAAAAAAAAAAAGCTCCGGGTGCACGCGCAGGCAGGCGGGGCGACCGGCGGACAGACGGCGGAGCTCAGGTCGTGCGCGAGGCTGGATGCCTGTGCACGCAGAGCCCCGGGTTTTTGAGTGATGCACGTTTAAAAAAAGAGAAGGGGAAAAAAAAGGTGATGATTCAGAATGGCGAATTCCCTCCCCTCTCTCCCCCCCTTCTTCTCCCCGTCTCCCCCCGGCTGAACGTAATGGATGCGCTTCGTGCAGAGACCCTCCTAACATGAACCTTACAGGATATAATTCAGCCTTAACAAYAACGCAGAATATGTTGATTAGCGCACAAAGAAAGGGGGTAAAAGATGGCAGGGGGGTGAGCACAAACGTGGCTACACACTCTCACACACACACACACACACACAGAGAGAGAAGAGTCCATTTTCCTCCTTACCTATAAAAACATCCAACGATGCGTTCTTCCACTCTCACTCCTTCCCTTTCTCCTCCCGTTTCTCCTCTTCTCGTTTTATGTTGCACRCTGACACGCGCGCCTCGGAGCCGCGGCGTCTGTCAACAACACGGGCTCGCGCTGGCTCATATTGCAGCCGATCATAACAATAACGCAGATTTTTTTTCTATTCCTTCCTTTGCTGAGGGGGAAAAAACCAGGGGTGCCAAGTGAAGGCTACAAATTGATGCCTCCACCCCACCTCCCCCCGTCTTCTTCTTCTTCTGAGACGACTTGCACTTTTTCTCCTTTTTTTTTTAAACCTCCCCTCTTCTTCAGGCTTACAGTCAAAATATTTGAGCCTGAGAGGGATGCACGTCGGGTGAGGGAAAGGGAGAGTGGTGAGGGCGTGATTTGCATAAGGAGAGAGAGGGAGGGGGAGACAAGAGGAGGAGGTGGGGGGAGTTGTGTTGCAGGGAGAAAGAGAGGCGCAGAGTGAGGGCCAAAACTCTGAAAAGGGAGGGTCTCTGTGCTCCCTTCAGAGTCACCTTTACTGTAAGGAGAGCCTCTCTGCTCGGGCTGAACCCGCAGTCAAACCCCACAGATGTGAGGGGAAACACACGGAATAGATATTTGTGCTGAACTCATCGAAAATACAAAAGAAACCAGATTTACAGCAAGTAAAGGATCATTTTCATGTCGTTATTTGAAACCGAACAAATATAAAAACACGACTAAAACATTTCCCCCCCCTTCCCGTGTTCGGCAGCTCCGACTCGGCTGCGGTGTGTCCAGTCGAGCGGCTCTGCAGACCACCTCCTCCTCCCCCTGCTCCTCCCCTCTCCCCCTTCACACAGCCCCCTGTCCCGGCTCCTATTGTGTGGTAACTGTGGCAACCCCGTCCGGAGATTGGGCACAGTGCGCACGCGCGCCGCTCCGTCCAGCCTCCTCTTCACGGYTGCTGCACGAGCTCAGCAGAGGCGGCAGTTCTCTCGTGCGCCCTCTCCTGGCGAGTCCGCGTAAAGACAAGAAATTTAAGAAAATAAAAAAAAAAGGCCTTGAGTAGTTTTTGGTTCATTTTGTTATTGGAATGATAAAAATAAAGTTTTAACTAAAATTACGTTTTAGAAGAAATTAAGGAATTAAAACAATAAAAGTCTGTAAAAATGGTGGTTTGAGATAAAACATGAAACTGATTAGAACTAAACTAACTTAAAACTAAAAAGTAGTCTGTGATGTTCAGATACAACACTGATTTACTGTATATCTGTATTGAATTAGCCTTTTAGTGTTTTTTTTCTTTTACATTTTTATGTAAGGGTTTGGAAACCAAGCAAAAAAACTGTAACAGGTCAGAAACAAAAAAGTTTACTTTTATTTAAAACACAAATAAAAAACTCAAAAGATTAATTTATTTTAAATTTTGACCTGCAGTGAAGTTACATGCGCTGTATGCAATTGTTTTTATAATGAACACAAAGAGAGTTTTATTTAGTGTGAGACATATACAGTATTGGTTTATTTATTCAGTTAAATGGACAAAGTAACAACTGTGGAACAGGAACGAGACGAAACAACAGAACACAAAAAACACAATAAGACGTATCAGGGAACACACAAAGAGATATTAGATCAATATATTCCAGCTATAGAGTATTTTATGTATGTTTAATTTACTTCATGACTCATTGATTTGTGTCTTTTTGGCATCCTTAAGAGCAGTTATAACCATCTATATTTAACAGCATTTGACTTCCTTGTTTACAGTGCTCAAAGGACACTGGGGTTGCGGAAGTTGTGTCCTGCAAAGTGGGCTTGGTCTCCTAACTCTTCTTCAATCCTGAGAGGAAGACAAGGTGAGGAGGGAAACAAAACATGTAAAATAAGACAAAAATATATTTTTCAAGTGTCTTATTTAAGTATTCTTTTGTTTATAAATATTTAGTCTATGCAGTAAAAACACACCTCATGAGCTGATTGTATTTTGCCAGACGCTCAGATCGACATGGAGCTCCAGTTTTGATCTGAAGAGGCATAAAATATTAAATAATTATATATTTGCACTTGAGACAAGATTAAAAATGACTGCAATGTTTTGTCCTTTGAGGATAAACATAAAACATGTTAAAATGATTTTTATTTGGATTTGACTAATATAAAACCATAAGAAAATAGCCTTTTACGTCCTTAAAAACTGCATTAAATGAGCCGCCTCGATGCTGTGTGTTACCTGTCCAGTGCAAAGACCAACCACCAGGTCAGCTATGAAAGTATCCTCTGTTTCACCTGAGCGATGGCTGACCATCACCCCCCAGCCATTCTCCTGGGCCAGTTTACACCTGAGAACAGCAAACAGGAACTCCTCCATATGTCAAGGGCACATGTTTTAGTTTATGTAACAACAACAACAACAACAACATACGCTTTGATGGCCTCCGTCACAGATCCGATTTGGTTGACTTTGAGTAGCAAACAGTTGCAGGCCTTCTCCTCCACAGCTCGTTGTATCCTGCGTGGGTTTGTCACAGTAAGATCATCTCCAACCACCTGAGATACGGCAAAGTTTCAGAACAGCCCAGAAAAAACGGCCACACTGGTAAATATCACTCTGATTTTAACTTAATCAGACAAATTTGCACATGGTCACTGCATGACTTAAATAAAAACAAAGAGGAAGAAAAAAATCAATATGATAACAATATTGGCAACAAAAAAACTGCAAATTTGTTGAAAATATCATCAAAACCTACAGAGACTTTTGACTGAAATGTTTGTTTTAGTTTGCATTCAGAAATTGGACAACAATTTTCTTCCCTTGGGAAGTTAATTGGAATGAAAACTGTCTCTTGACACTGCTGATTACGTAATTAAAAGTAGCAAACACAAACCTACGGATAATTTTTTGCTACTTTTAGCTTCTTTGCCTTTCTGCAACTTAAAATTTTAAGCTACTCTTGATCATTTAGCTTTTAGCTGAATGTTGCTCATTGTATCTATAGCACTTTTGCTACTTTAATCTAGCCCATAGCTGACTCATTGGTGCTTTTAGTCAAACTTTTAGCTTCTAGCTGTCATTGTGCAGGTTTAAGCTTTTAGTAAGTCATTTTTACTTTTAGCCTTCAGCTAGATTTTTGCTACTTTTAGCTAGTCTTTTGCTACTATTGTCTGTTATCTATCATTTTGCAACTTCTTTCAGGTGGTATTTTTTCATTTAGGCTTTATCTAGCCTTTTGTTACTTTTAACTAGCTTATTTCTACTTTTAGCTTTTAGCTAACACTTCACTGCTTTTAGCCAATGCCTTGGTTTTTTTTTTTATTTTAAGTTGCCATTTTGCAACGTTTAGTAAGCATTATGCTACTTTTAACTGCTTTATTACAAGTTTAGATTTGCCTTTTGATACATTTAGCTTTCAGCTAAGATTTTGATTCTTTTGGCTTTGCTTTGTTTAGCTTTAGTTTTAGCCTCATCAGTAAAGTTAGTGATTCAGCACTCTGCAGCATTCACACTGCAATTTTATTATTTGATCTAAGGACTTTTAAAATAATTTATCAATCAAAGACTTTTGCTGAAGCTCAGTAATCCATTCAAATATTTTTTTATAAAAATCTCTAATTAAAAATCTTGCCTGCCTCCATGAGATGATAAGTGACTCTAAGGATAACCTGTTTAATTCAGTTCTAGTAAAACAACATTTTGTCCCGCCTCACCTGGATGCCCACTGAGGCTGTGAACTGAGACCAAGCAGGCCAGTCGTCCTGGTCAAACGGATCTTCAATAGACACGACTTAAAGACAGAGAATGGAGTCATTTAACACGACTGAGTCAAATACAACCTGCTACTAAACAAGCCTCACTGACATTTACAGCAAAGTCTCCTCAGACATTATAGACAGATGCACACTTGACAAGCAGTCTGTGTTTGTGACCAGATAACAAGCCTCTCTGCTTGTCGCACATCAGCAGAACATCAGACGTATGTGTCAAAGAGGAGAGAGCAGGCTCTCTCCAGAGACCTGTTCCTCTTTCAGCTCCTTCTAAAAGGTCGAGACGAAAGCGTGTCGCTGCTAAAAAAAAGAGACTGGTGTGTCTGTTTGGTGTGACGCAGCAACACTGCATAAAAAGCTGCAGTGACCAGTAAACTCTACCCCCCACACACACACAAACACACAAACACACACCTGGATAGTTCTTAATGAAGCCCTGGTAGATGCTGGCCAGCTCCTCTGCGCTGATGTTGCGGGCAGCGTTGGGAGGAGACTTGAAGTCCAGGTCGTATTTATCCTCACTGAAGAACTCGGAGGCAGCGACGTCCATCCCAATCACCACTTTATCTGTGAAGCCCGCTTTCTCGATGGCTGTCTTTATCAGCTCCAAGGCTGACAGAAAAGAAGAAAATGATGTAGGACTAGGCTATGTGAAGAAACAGGGGAGAGGGACATTTTGTTCTTTTTTTGGTTTTTCGATGGTTTGCACTGCCTCACCTTCACTGTTCTCTTGTATGTTAGGAGCAAACCCTCCTTCATCTCCCACATTTGTAGCATCCTGACCATATTTCTCCTTAATGACGCTTCGAAGTGTCTGGTAGAGCTCTGCCCCGACACGCAGAGCATCACGGAAAGACTCTGCGCCGACAGGGAGGACCATGAATTCCTGCATAGCCAGTCTGTTCCCAGCATGAGAGCCCCCATTGATTACGTTAAAGGCCTAAAAAAATGGAAGCAAATAAGAGGAAAAGGTGTTTATGTTTAAATGTTTCTGTTTGGAAACTGAGGCGGCATGGTGGTGCAGTGGTAACAGCTGTGGCCTCTCAGGAACAACACCAGAACTCTCTGGGTTCTTTGGTTTTCTCCCACAGACCAAAATCATGCATGTTAGGTTAATTGGTAATCATGCCCATGTGAATGATGAATTCTGAGGCTTAATTCTTACTTTAATCACAAAATTCTTAAATTCTGATCAAAGAGGCAGAACTTTTTTAATGGCCCTGATCATTATCCGTAGACTTAAAGGGGACCTATTATGCAAAATTCACTTTTTAAAGGTATTTTTACTCAACTTTGGGTACGTACTTCTTTAAAAAAGTCCTGGGACCAAAAAAATGCACCCAGGGGGATATTTACTGTAAGCAAATGTATTTTTATTGTATATTAACAACAAGTTTTATACTTCCGTCATTTTGTGATGTCACAAGCCGTACGACAACCCACTGGAACCTGCGTTCAGCCCCTTACCTAACAACCCCCGGGTGAAGCTCCTCCTCCTCAGTATAAAAAAAACCATCACGATTGTTGTGCAATGCGCAGCTCATTTCACAACAGGCCTCCAATAGGGCAATGGGTAGAGTGTTGGATCAGAGAGTGGGAGACCAGGGTTTGAGACCAGCACAGACACAATTTCATTATTTATTGTCATTCGTTATGAACATGTTTTCTCATGTACCTCTATTGTTTAGCTTAGTAAAGCCTTGTTAAAGCCTATTTGTTCGTGTTTCTGAGGTATTTTGACCGCTGCTGCTCCCTGCTCTGGTAACAGCATGCAGAGTGAGCGCAGAACAGAGGAGAGAAAAAAAGAAGAAGCTGAGACCACGACTCTGCCTCTGGATCTCATGGTTGTACAACGGAGCTTCTGCTATTACTAGCCATGCTAATGTAAACGCTGGCTTTGGAGGGCGGAGTTAATGTCAACAGATTTTTGGAGGGCGTTACCAACAGAGCTCATTAACATAAACAGCTTGTTCTGAACGGAAGTCAGAGCAGGCAGAACTAGAAAATGGGAAATTTTATTATCTGAGAATTATTTTGTGCATTAAATTGAATGAACATGGTCTGGAAAGCCCACGGACATACCATAAAAATTTCTAGGACCCATAATTGGTCTCCTTTAAAGCCAGAATTCTGAGGGGGAAATAGTCAGAATTCTGTGTTTGGGGCCATAGACTGAAAAGAAAAAAGAAAAAAAATCCTGAGTTCTGATTTCAATCTCAGAGATCCGAGGAAAAAAAATCAGAACACAGGAAATTTTTTTAGTTATTTTTTGCTCTGTGGCCCTAATCTTCCATAGTAAGATGCATTTGTCTCTAAATAAAACTGAAAGTAAAACCTTACTGGAACTGGAAGAACCAGTTCTCCGTTTCCTGCCAGGTCAGCGATGTGACGGTACAAGGGGACGCCTTTCTCCTCCGCTCCAGCTTTGCATACAGCCAGCGACACTCCGAGAATAGAATTGGCCCCAAACTTAGCTGGGAGGAAACAACAGAGGCAGCATCTTATAACACATGGATGCAGCTGGAGCAGGAGCACGTCAGCACCAATCTGTATCTGAACGCAACACGCAGGCTCACATTTGTTGTCGGTGCCGTCCATTTCAATCATCATGTTGTCCAGTTTCTCCTGCTCCAGAACACTGATTCCCTGCAGGAGAAGCAAAATGTCTCATCTGTCACTGGTGTCTGTTTGTTAACAACATTTGTCACGAAACACTGGATCAAAGAAACTTGTATAAAACAGTCCATGTATTAAAAGCAACTACTAACATTTAGAGCCAAATTGATTCAAGATGGCTGCCACATCCAGCTGACCTTCAAAAACACAAAACTGCCTCAAAACTCAGTCAAATTTAGATTAATCAAAATAGAGTTTGGTCTGATAGTAGGTAAGCGTAATCCCTAAAACATATTGTGAGGGCTAACAGATTATGTAAGCTCTTTCTTTAAAATTTTGACTTTTGTCAAAATAACCACTAAATGGATTTTAATTAAATTTACAGTAGATAATATCTGGGTGTACCTCTACAACTGGTTAACCTTTGGAGCCAACCAAATTCAAAATGTCCGCCACAGCCAACTCACTTTAGAACACACAGAAATGGCTATAAATCAATCAGTTTCATAGATATTTTCCCTAAAATTTACTGAAGTCGCAGCTGAGAGTCATTAACAACACAGTAATCCACATTGCACAATGTCTTTGATTAAAACCCTCAGCATTAACTGTTGGAGTCAACACTGTTAGCAAAATATCAGGGTTGTAAAGTAACTAAGTACAAATACTTTGTTACTGTACTTAAGTAGAATTGTACTTTCCCTACATTAAAAAATGTAAGAAGTAGAAAGTCATTACTCCTATTTCATACCGGCTCATAAATTTATCCTGATAAACAGTTCCTTTGAATTTAATTGTGGTCAGAAGTATAAATATATACCATTCTGACACATATTGTACACAATCCATCACAGCTGCATGCCTTTAAAAAATGTATTTGGAAAAACTAGCCTCTCATTTTTACTCAGTACTTTTACTTTTAATACTCAAGTGCATTTTATGCAAGAATTTTACTTTTGATACTTAAGTACAAAATAAATCAGATACTTTAAGGCTTTTACTCAAGTAATATTCTTAGAGAAGACTGTAACGAAATAATATTTTTACTTTTAAGCCAGTAATTCATGACATACTTTAATGACCTAGGTTGTTTTCATGACATGCTGTTTATCAATGTTTATAACCAGAACAAGATCTGCTAACAACAATCATTCTTAGATATCACTTGTGTTTACCTTTGTGTTTCCCCTTGACCTAGCATTTCCTTAGGATGAAATCTTGCTTTATTAATATGACATAATACTGTTTGTTAAACAGTATATATGAGGCCTCAACTGCCTCAAGGGAAGCAGAAGCAGAGCAGGGGGACAGTCAGATGGCTCTAGGTTCTCTGTGTTCCTGTTGTTGTAATAAAACTCAGCAGATCATTCCATGGAGTACCTTCATTCTTGGACCACGTATTTCTGTTTTTGTTAAATAAATATTTCCATAACAAGGAGACTTTAACTTTTTACCAAAGTAATTTTATGATAAGATACTTGCACTTTTATTCAAGTATCACTTTGTGGTACTTTATACAACACTGCAAAATATCTCATGTACCACTGAACGGTCATTAACGAAACATTCAGAAAGTAATCTTAGGATGTATGTCTACACCTGATTCACCTTTGGAGTCAATCCATTTCTAGATAGCTCCAGCAACTAATCGACATTAGCCAACACACAAATGACTGTAACTCAGTTTTACAGGGATGCAGCTAAAACTTAATGTGGTGGTAGCTGAGAGTCATTCAGAAAATATATTCTGAGTGTGCCGTTTAGCAACATCACACAAGGTTGCACATGGCAGTTTGACTAACACGACTATAACTCTGCCATCTCCTCACATGAGATGACCCAAAGTCTAAATTTCAGAAACTCACAGATTCGATGAGAGCAGGGCCGAGAGTGTCATTGATGTGAGCGACAGCCTTGGTCACACCTTAAAGAAAAAAAATCAAACAATGGGCTGTGGGGAGTTGGTGCACATTTTGTTGGACAATAATAATAAAACAGAGGTTTGTCTCATCAACCTTTGCCCTTGTAGCGAGTCTTGTCCCCATCTCGGAGCTCCAGAGCCTCATAGATGCCCGTTGAAGCACCACTGGGCACTGCCGCCCTGAACAGACCTAAATTATAACAAACGTGTGTAAATGACAAAGAGAAAGGTGAACAATAAAGAGGAAGTTATTTTTTTATATATAGTGACCTTTGGATGTATGCAGATCTACTTCCACAGTGGGGTTTCCCCTGGAGTCCAGGATCTCCCTGGCAACAATATTCACTATGGACATCCTGTAGAAGACACAAAATATATAAATAAAATTAAAAGAAATCAGCCTGGTTTTTACTGTTTTTACAGCAAACAATGAGTCCTTTTTTGAACAGAAAAACCTTCCATCCTACTTCAGCTCTAAAAACAGATGGACATGAAAATGAAAGACGTAAAATAACCCTTAATCAAATAAAATGATAATACTGCATCTCACTGCACCCTAAACACACACTGTCATTACAGTGACGCAGCCTTTTGGATCCTCTGGGATGAAGCTCTCTCTCTAACAGTCACACAAACCGAGAGCTGGAAACATAAATCAAAGAATACATTCCTATTTAAAAAAGAAAAAAAATCTCCTGCCAACCTCTTTCAGCCCTGAAGCCAGTTTAATTTCTGTGCTGTCTCAGGCAGTGACTGAGAACGTGGAGCATAACGGAGGAGATGAGACAGAAGACAATGAGGCAAAGGAGGCGAGAAGGATGAGGATGAGGAGGCTCACAGGGATGGAAGAAGAAATAGATCAATCTTTTTTTTTTTCCTTTTGCATTACCTGCCGTGCGTTTGATCCTGGTGGCGTGAGAGCAAATGAGAGGGAGCAAAAGAGAAGAGGAGGAGGAGGAAAGGGTATGATGACACAATGGTGGGGAGGGGGAGTGAGTCACTGGAAGATGGAGGGAGCAGGAGAGAAAAGAAAGATGGAATGGCACGGCTGAAGATGCACAGATTCCTGATGTCAGTGAGGWTGCAGGAGATCGTTCAAATCTCCACAAACAGCTTGAAAAAAGACTTCATCACTTCAGTGCAAGTTCCTCACAGGAACTGTGTCTGTATTTCTGCTAAAAACTAAAATCTAATTTAGAGAAACATCACAACATTATAAGCTAAATCTCTGCAAAGACAGCTCAAAGTGGACTGTCTTGTTGGGGAACAGATCTATGGAGACAGGTGGAAGGAAGGTGGCGTTTCAAACGAGCGAAGGATGTAATTAAAGACACAGAGGCACAGCAGGAGGTCTGAACTGAGTGGTTTGTCTAAAAATGGGAACAGTCCCTATTGGCTGTTCTGTTCACCTACGCAGCTCGGATGTCAAATGCTGAATTACAACAGGGGTCTGCAAACTGTGGCTCCAGGGCCACGTGTGGCTCTTTGGTCTCTCTGCAGTGGCTCTCTGCAGTTTGGATCAAAAATGACTATGTCAGCTTATTTATGTAGCACATAAGAATACAAGCAAAAAGGTAAAACAGTAAAAACAAGGGAACACAATTAAATATCAAAAGGACAAGTAAAAACAAAATAAAATGCAGAAACTCACACCAGAACCCACCCAGTTTCTGTGGTACATTTATAAAGAGGGGAACACCAAAAGACTTATCACCTCCATGTTTTAGTTTGGACCTTGGATCATCTAAAATAACTGGTTGGAACACTTTCTCTCTTACTTTGAAAATTCAAAAGCAAGCAGAGGTCCCTGGGTAAAAAAGAAGTATGCGCAAATTCATGGTATGCTTGTTGTACATTTATATTTCTAACATGCTTACTGCAAGTGTATTAAAAATATTCTGTTGTGCTTTAACATACTCTTTAAAATTATACTTAAAATAAATTTGTAATAAATACATGCTTAAATAAACTTTTAATGAGTATGCTCAAATATTAGCATATTTTAAACACCATTATAGACTATTAATTTAAAATGTATTTATTAAGCTCTTTATAAACACTATTTTGCGCTAACTTTGTGGGAGTACATTGTTAAACTAATACACTTTAAGTCAATTAAAAATAGATTTATCCCAAGTATGCTGCATGCTGTACTGCAATATATTTTAAATATGTATTTAATTGTAGTACGCTTCAAACTAAGAGAAGTATGATTTCTTTTTTGTTTTGTTTTGTTTTTCATTTCACCAGGTACCACAAAATTAGACACCTCTTACATAAGAACACTAATGACAGGAAAATTATGTTTCCAAATGTTTTTGTTAGTTTTTAATGCAGTATCATTTCATACATATTTCCCAGTAATTATTTACATTTAACCAATAGTACTGCATCTGTGACATGTACACTTTAAACCCCAATGTTGAAATTAAGTAAATATAATCAATAGTCAAAAGTATAATTTTTTAAGAAAGTTCTACTAACTCTAATGTGTTGAATTAGTGTAACACCATATTCTTGGTATTTTTGAGTAGGCCTATAATTAACTATGGTATTTGATTGATATGAACTATTTGCTGGTGAATAAGCAGTGATAAATGAAAACTAATTAATTTGCCTTATTTTTAATGTTTCAACAAAATAGCAAACAAAAACAAACTAGCAACAATGACACTGTGGACAAATGGTCTAAAACCTCCTCTAAAGGCCTGACAGATATTAAGACATAAAGGCAGAATGTATGTATTTATTATTTTATTAGTGTAGTTTATGTATGTTTGATGTTGCCTGGAAGCATCCAGTTCCTGTGTTGCTTAGTCTGTAATTTACACTCCTAGTCAAAGGGGGCGCTGATGAGTCGTAGTGGTTGCTTAATGCAGTTTTGAATAAAATCACAAAGAAGAAGAACGGAACAGAGCGGGAGGTCGTAGCAAGGAAGAGCTCATTTAGCTCACCACACACACAGTAAGTATTTTTTTTTATTGATTTTTA